AGATTCGCCTTTTGGCCTTTGGGGATTGGAGGCGGACGAAAAAGCGTTTATTGTAGAACTTCAATGTATTTATTTACACAATTGGCTCAAGACTTTAGATATTTGTATACGAGGCTCAAAACTTTAGATATTTGTTTTTGAGACCTATTTGCAAAATTTATCATTTCAGATAATTTATACAACTGCGCCCCAAAGCTTTCACCTTATTATCATTTTCCCGTAACTGATTTGATATTCGCTCATAAGACCATACTCACAAAATCATCACTTCATGTATTTACAAAAATTGGCACAAAACTTCAAATATTTACATAGCAGTCTCCAAATCTTCAGATATTTGCTTACAAGACCGCATTTAGAAAATCATCACTTCATATCTATACAAAACGCCACAAAATGCAAATTTTTTTATAAACAATGAAAAGTCCACTATAGTTTTTTACATTGTCCGGAACGAGCTGTTGATTGTATCGTTTTAAAGCATAAATAATTGCTCATGAATGCCCGTAACTAATTTGATATTTGTTTATGGAGACACAGTTTATGAAATTATCAATTGCACCCTCAGAAAACACAAACAAACCAAAGATTTGGAATTGTAACATTTTCATGCATTTTCAAATAAGAAAAAAGTAAGTAAAAGTGAAGATACAGAAGATATATTTCAATTTAACATACTTTTGCAAGAGCATAGTAAAATCCAAGATGACAAATGATGTACATAAAATAAAAATACATATAAACCATGTTCATGGTGATGCATCGCCTTATTATACAAAAAAACTGCTAAGCCGATGCATAAAACCAAGTCCAACTACTACTACTAACTTGCAAAATGGTATGATCCAAGGGCACTGAAAATATGTTTACAATCCATACCCTAAGCTATTAAAATGGTGAGTAATATTGTTTTTTCTAACACACTATTAAATTAGTAGAATCTCCTTTGCTTACCTGATTGATTATAATTAAGGACCAAGACCGGTGCTACCAAAAGAACCACCTAGCCTGACTTGAGAAGATTCATGAACACTTATCTTGATAGTGCGGCTCTGCGATAATCTATAAATGTCGATACATTCTTCGAGATCCGCTTCACACGTCAGAAGAACCCATTCCTTGTCATCATCAAGGTACTTAAGATCAAATGGTGCAATGTTATCTATGTTAAAACGTCTAGCAATCTCTTGTTGCAACTCTCTGAAGCCCCAAGTTGGTAGCAGAGTAAACCGTACTTTCGCCTCACCGAATGTTGCTTTCACTTTAGAGGCACCTCCAGCTTTCAAGCTCCTGCTACGGGTTGATAACCGAGATAGACTATCGAAATGAGGATGCTCAGTGAATGTTTTGTGGCTCAGGGTTCTAGAGAGTGACTTTGTTTCTTCTTGATTCACGGTATGTAGTCTTACCTCGCTACGAGCTCTCTTCAAGATCGCGCCAGCGTTTTCAGCCATCATAGTAGTTGTTACCGTATTCGAGGTAGTTCCAGTATTGGTGCTTTGATTAGCTCCAGTTGAACAGCAGGTGCTTGAACCAGAGCTATGACTACAAGAAGATGATGGTGGTGACTTTGGAGCTGCAACAATTCCTTGTGCTAAAACACCGTTCTCGGTTTGCTTCGACTGATCATTGGTCTTGAAAGAAGTGACAGTACCGGATACATTCGGTGAGCTTAACTCCGGGAAGCTTGTGTAGAATGAATCAAGTTGGATAGAGCCTTGAACACCTTGAACAGAGTCTATAACAAGTTGGAGTTTCTTTAATGAGTGTCCTACTTTCTTGATCTTTCGCGAAGGCCATCGCGTGATCCCGTGTTGTCTACATATTCTTTTCAATGTAGTTGGACAAACTGCAACATAAAGAGTGAATAATTTACTGTCTGAGAATTTTGATAGAAATAGAGATAGTAACAAGAAGTGTTCTTAGTTCTTACCACCAATGCTCTTAGCTGCATCTTTGAGGCTTCCTGCAAAGTATTGTCGAAGAACTTCTAAACCGA